AAAAAAATTTGCCTTTTAAATTTTTAATCTATATAGAACTCACTTACTGACAGAATAATGGTATTGTGAACTAGCAGAGTTATCCTTAGCTGCTTTGATGCAGGTAATGAAAAATCTTTAGTTTGAGCTGGATTGGAGCAATGTGTGAAAGACCTTCACTTGATTCCCACCCTTCTTTTGTTTTGAGAGGCAGTTGTTTTTGAAGCAATAAAGAGGAAAGAATTCTGACACATTCGTATTGTTTGTAAAGAACCAGGAAGCTGTGGCCTACAGCAGCTGAGCTCCTAGGGACCTGTACAAGCCAGAGCTTCTTTCTGTCACAGTGGGAATTTTCACACCTTTGAAAATTGTTTCCTAATTTTTTTTTTAATCGGGCTGAAGAGATGGCTTATCAGTTAAGAGCATTAGTTTTTGCAGAGGACCTGGGATTAGTTCCCAGTATCCACATGTTGGCTCATGACCAATTCCCCAGTTCCAGGGGATTTGATGCCTTCTTCTGACCTCTGCAAGCACCAGGTATACATGTGGTACCTATACATACATGCAGACACAACACTCATGCACGTAAAATAAAAATTTGAAAATTTTTTGTTATATTTACTTGTGTGCGGGTGTGTACATGAGCAGGCACTTGAATGCACATGTATTTCCCTGCCACAGCATGCATCAGGGGCAAAGGAAAACTTGCAGGAGTTGATTCTCTCCTGTCACTTGGCACCGAGAGGTTGAAGTGGAACTCAGGTAGTCAGACTTGGCAGCGGGCACCTTTACCTGCTAAGCCATCCCCGGTTACAAATCTCTTTACAGGACGGCTCTGGTAGCCCCACGAATGCTTGTGCTTTACTTTGCATTGTTTACTCTTAGGGACAATTAAACATGGGCTGGACCCACATTATCTATTAAAGGCCCTGACTGAAGGCCTGGAGAGACAGCTCAGCAGTTAAGAGCACTGGCGGCTCTTCCCGAGGACACAGGTTTAATTCCCAGCACCAACGTGGAGTCTCACAACTATGTGAAACTCCAGTCCCAGGGGATCCAGTGCCTTCCTCTTTGGGTAGTGTAGACACTCGTACTTACTTACAAATAAGTAAGTAAAATCTCAAAAAGTTTATGCCCCAACTGAACTTTCACCTCAATCTGTTTCAGTTTGATATATTAAACATCAAAAGGGTGTGGGGGAGCCCCAAAACATTTAGATTGTCATAGGCAGAGAAAAGAGGACAGTTTGAAATAGTGCCCATAAAAGTTAAGGCAAAGGAAGCCTTTGTCTTAAAATATGTGACTGAGAGCCACAGTATTTTAAGACTCAGGTTTTGTTGTTAAATAATGAGGTTACCACTTTCCCAGTGATAAAATCATGTGAGTTTTGAAAATAGTGTTGTACCTAAAAGGAAATAAGACTTGGTTATTACAAGCTGCATTTCTGCCATTCATTTAACTATTTGGTGTGTGCCCTGGTTCGTCTACAGGTGTCTGTCGCTGCCCATATGCATGTTGCCACTGGTTTTTCCTTTCTCCCATAGTAGTTGATCTTTGAAAGGTGTCTCCCCACAGCTATAGTGCAAGAGGCAGTGTCAGTCCTTAGTGGCTGTGCACACAGTAGCTGTTGTTAGGAGACCTAAAATGTGTACTGTGCTGTGGAGGGTCTTGACTACTGAGTGGGTCTGTTCTGAGTAAGTTAGCACATTTGTATTTGTTTCTCTGATAACAGGGAAATGGTAAGATGTTAATAGCTTTTCATCCCACCATGTCAGACTGTTCCCCAGAACAGTGGTGTGGAGATGTTTAAAGTCCTATTCCTTTGTTTTTTCAAGACAGGGTTTCTCTGTGTAGCCCTGGCTGTCCTGGAACTCTCTCTGTAGACCAGGCTGGCCTCAAACTCAGATCCCCCTGCCTCTGCCTCCCAAATGTTGAGATTAAAGGTGTGCACCACCACCACCTGTAAAGCCCTGTTCTCAATCACTAGCTTAAAGCCTGGATTAAAGGATAACTCCCTATCAGTCACTTTTAAACAGGAATGGCACTTAAATACCATCAATATGTTAATTGCTGAGGGAAAACGTCTAGCTCATGTGTTCTTGGTTACTTAGTGAGAGGCCGATGTCTACAGAGAAGACTGAGGCAGGAAGTCGAGGCAGCAGGCCTTTGTCTACTGGAACAGATTTGAGTGGGTTTGCATATTCTTCCCTCATGGGTGGCCTTTTTTATTTTGTTTTTAATAACTGCTTGTAAGTTGGATGGAAAATGAGAAGATTGAAAATAAATACACATCTGAGGTATGGGAAGATAGCTTCAAGAACTAGGATTTTTTTTTTTGTTCCATTTATTTTTTTTTTAAATAATTTTTATGGCCCAGTGCAGGCTCTATAAATTGCTGTGTTAATTGGCTCTAAGTAGCTTGCCAGCATCCCTAGGAAGCATGTGGGAAACAGCCTGGTTGATTATGGAGTCAGTGTGTGCTGTGTGCCTGGATCCGGCCTGTGGGGGGCGCCTGGGTTGCATTTAGCTCACTCTTCTGATTAGAACTGGGTTTCCCCCTTGCTGTTATAAATTGTGGGAGAATTCTGAAGGGCTGTTGTTCTAATGGGGTGAGATTTTGTGGAGAATAAAGTGTGCAGCTTAAGTTCCAGTGAAGCTGTTTGTAGCTTGGGGTTACCAGAACTTGTCCAAGCTTAGGGCTATCAGTGTTCAGGGGTTTGGGGGTTGAGCTATAGAAAAACTTTAGCCTGGGTGTGTGGACAGGGCCATGTGTAGGTATAGGGAGCTTCACAAGCCATTGGATGTAAAGGGCGTGCTTGGTTCACCATCTGCAGCCTTGGAGCTAAGCTTGCTCAGCCCTGGTTCACCTCAGTGGAACATGGAGTGATCTGATAGTCTAGAGGAGTGAGGCCAGGGAAGGTAAGGGTTCTGCACAGCTGGATTGACCTGGTGCCAGCTAGACCTGCCCGACCCTTGAGCCATCCTCTCTCACTCAGCAGCACTCACTGGATCAGCGGCCCCAGCAGGGGTTCATTTCTTATTGAAGAGATGGTCCATGGAAGGCTCGCCTTACCGTCCTTTCTGTAGAACATCAGAGACAGGGTGTCCAGTAGAAGCTGGCTGACCTCATCCACACCAGGTGTCCAGCTTAGAGCCAGGCTTGCAGTCACGGGGAGGGAGGCCCGTGTCAGTTTAACTGGCCTGGTAAAAATGAAGATGTTCTAGAGAGACGCTTGTATCTGTCTCAGTCACTTGAGATTATTGAAACAGTGGACTCAGCCGTGGGGATTTCCCCAGGAATCTCATGCTAGGAGAAGGAAAAAGTGCCTGTCAGAGGGGGAACTTGTCTCCCAGAAAGAGATTCCACGCAGTTCTAAGAGTTGTCACCACCTTCCAAGATGAGACTGGAGAGGACCACAGGTCATGGCGGGAGGACTGCACCTTGACAGGGCTCATGTGCATAGCCTTGGCTCTCTGTTTAAACTTCAGTTTCACTCTAGGACCCAAAGATGCACTTGAGGGCTCTGCTGCATATCTTTGTCCCTCGTCCCCAGGTGGCCACATTGAGTAGCCCTCCTCTTTCTGCTTCCCACAATTAAATCGATGCTTTTTATTGGCTTATTGAAGACGGTGGCCAGACCTGACTTGACATAACTTGTGACCCCCATGTCTAAGAAGATCTGTGTGTGCTATAGAGTTTTTGATGGATGAACAGTTCCCACCAAGGGCAACAGCATTGTTTTATTATTGAAAATAGACGTATGTGAGAGCTGGGAGAGATGGCTTAGCCATTAAGAGCATTGACTGCTCTTCCAGAGGTCCTGAGTTCAATTCCCAACAACCACATGGTGGCTCACAGCCATCTATAATGGGATATGATGCCCTCATCTGGTGTGCAGGCGAACATGCAGATAGAGCACCATATACATAAAATAAGTCTTTTTAAAAAAAAATTAAAAAGCTCGAAAAACCAAAAAAAAAAAATTAAAAAGAAAATACACATACATTCTCTGAGTCAGTTTTGTGTGCCCCCGACAGCACCTAACACAGTGTGATGGTCTCCACTTAATAATTGCTGAAGCTAGCTTTCAGAGTGAGGTACCCGGTGTATACACACACACACACACACACACACACACACACACACACACACACACCCAAGGCCGTGTGTCGTTAAAGCAGAGTTGCATACAATAGGTGGTATCTAGTAGCTAGATACTCAGGTGAATGTCTCATCACCCCAACCCTCCGTGTGTGTGTGTGTGTGTGTGTGTGTGTGTGTGTGTGTGTGTGTGTGTGTATGTATGTATGTACAGTCAAGCCCAGCCAGGGGGTAATTCTTTTGCAAGAGGGGTACACCTGAAGTCCCCAAGGTGGCAGTTACATGGCTCAGAGGACAGTTGCTGGCAATGTCCCCCATCTAGCCAAGCAAGACTTGATTTTCCATCTACATCCCTCGAATACTAGTGTGTGGATCTCTGTGCAGTTTGAAGCTGCGTGCACAGCGTTTGCATTGCTGGCTGTGGCCTTCTGCTCTCATGAACTCTTCTGCTCCACTTGGAAATATTTGAAAATACAGAAAATGGTGAAACTCTGTGGTGGGAGTTAGGAGAACTTGACCTTGTTTAAGGCTCGCTCTTGGTAAGAACTTCATACGTAGGAAATCCGGGTGGTGGTGTCATATACTGTTAATCCCAGCACATACTCAGGAAGCAGAGTCAGGCATATCTCTGAGTTCAAGGCCAACCTGGTCTACAGAGTGAGTTCCAGTACAGCCAGTGCCACACAGAAAAACCAAAACCAAAAAATCTACAGTGACACACCAGCTAACGAACTCCTCTATGAGACCTCACAGCTGGGAAGTGACTTGGTGTGTGGCAGGAGAGGAATACTACTCTTCTGTTCAAATGATTCCAAACATGAGACTGATTTTCCTTGTGTGTCTGTGATGTTGTTATATAGCAGTCAGTCGATCAAAACCTAAATACCGAGCTCACAGTTGTTCTAATTTTCTCGTCTAGAAGGAGCTGGCGAACACCCCTGACTGTCCTAAGATGTGTGCCTATAAGCTGGTGACCATCAAGTTCAAGTGGTGGGGGCTGCAGAGCAAAGTCGAGAACTTCATCCAGAAGGTAAATCTGCTCACAGAAGTGGCTGTTGGAAAATGGTCTCTGTGACCAGCGTTTTCCCCTCTATGATATGAAAGTTACTGTCCCCATGTGTCTGTCTGATTCCCTGCAAACACCAAATCTAAATAACGACGAGATTTTAAGAGACCTTTTTCTTTCTTTTTTCTTTGTTTTCTTTTTTAAGGTTTTACCTTTTGTGTATGGATGTTTTGTCTGCGTGTATATCTGTGCATCACATGCATGCGGTGCCTTTGGCAGCCAGGAGAGGGCATCAGATACCCTGGAACTGTAGTTGCAAACAGTTGAGAGCCATCGTGTGGGTGTTGGAAACTAAACCTGGGTCCTTTGGAGGAGCTACCAGGTCTTACCTCACTGAGCCACCTCTCCAGCCCTTAGGGGACTTCGTTAGGAGAAATGCAGTGCTTTATGTGTTCAGTGTGCTTTCCACAGATGGTTTTTCTGCACTCGAGCACAAAGCCCCTCCCATGACCAGCCTGTCCATGAAGACACCTGGTTTCCTGGCCACTTCTCTGGCAGTCTTGTCTGGAGTGTCTTCTGTAGAGGTCTTGCCAGGAGTAGATAGACCCTGAAATGGTGACATGATCTGAGGATCCCTATCCCAGTTCCTTTTTAAAAAAATGGAGATAGCATGAGCAGTTAGATAGAGAAGGGGTGTCAGAGTGGTGTAAACACATTTATGCATAGTGTTGCCCAACACCACACAGAACAACAAAATACCAGGTTATAAATGCACAGGAAGGCCAGGCAGTGATGGTACACGCCTTTAATTAATCCCAGCACTCGGGAGGCAGAGGCAGGCCGATCTCTGTGAGTTCAAGGCCAGCCTGGTCTACAGAGCAAGATCCAGGACAGGCACCAAAACAACAGAGAAACCCTGTCTCGAAAAACCAAAAAATAAATAAGTACACAGGAAGATGTGGGAATACCCTATGTTTACTCTTCCTATAGGATCCCTCCCGCCCCATCATCATCATTATAAAGATGTCTTTAGGGGCTGGAGAGACATCTCAGTGGTGAAGAGCATTGGCTGCTTTTCCAGAGGACCTGGGTTTGATTCCCAGCACCCACATGATGGCTCACAGCCATCTGTAACACTCATTACAGGGGATCCACACCACTTCATAGCCTCTACAGGAACTGCAAGCATGAGGTGCACAGACATGCATGCATACACAGAAGAAGTCCTAGGGAATAAGAGACGTCCCTGTTATGGGTTCTCACTGTGGTTCTTAGCCTATTCACAGCCAGCCCTTGAACACACTCTGTAGGTGCTGGCCTTCTCCCCTTGACATTGTAGTAAATAGATCGACAGTCCAGTTTCGATAAAGAGAAGTTAGTTGCATGTGTAAACATGCAGTTTTCTGTTCATGGGGGAAAAGTGGAGAATTGTTCCCAAAGTGTCAGTTGTTGTATGTACTTTGCTCTCTTTTTGGGAAAGTTGAATACAACTTAAATATCTGGGTATTTAAAGCCAGTATTTCTATACGTGGTTTTCATATATATGTTTGTGTCTGTGCATACACATGGGCAGTAATGTAGAGCACAAAAGAATTAATGCAGACTACCTAGTGCTTTCATCATTGTGTCTCTGAGCACTGGGGCTTTCCTTCAGTGCAGGGTGCCCTATGATACACAGTGAAGACTGAGTCTAGTCTTACCGTAGAAGAACCGAGTTGACCTTCGATCCTGGGCATTGAGAACAGGTGTCAGTATATGGGGCCCAGCAGGAGCATATGGAATTCAATTATGCATGCCGCGCGCTCTCGGCTTCCACCAGACCGGTCATCCTTTTGCCAGTGGAGATTCTTTCCCATTTCTCAGGGACCTTTGAAAATAAGTTTTGAATTATGTATGTTTGTTTGTTTGTTGTGTATGGTTGTGTATCAGCTGCATGGGTGTGGAGGTCAGAGGACAGTTTGTGGGAGTTGGTTCTCTCCTTCCACCATTTGAATCCAGGTATTGAACTGAAGTCATCAGGCTTGGAGGCGAGCACCATAGCCTGCTGAGCCGCCCCTTCACAGGGAATTTATTTTCCTCCTGTATAAAATTATGATAGGGTAGAATTAATATAAAGAATTCACAAAGTCTCTACATAGCCCTGGCTGTTCTGGAACTCCTTATGTAGACCTAGCTGGCCTTGAACTCTTGAGATCTGCCTGAGTGCTGGGATTAAAGGCATGTGCCACCACACTTGGCCTAGTTTCTGCTATTGTATAAAGTGGTCTTTTCAAACTAAGTTCAAGTTCATTTTATGTGCTGCTTGGGACATGTAAAGTTAATGTATCACTAATTGTATGTTTTTGCCACTTTGTTTGAAAAGCAAGAAAAACGGATATTTACAAACTTACATCGCCAGCTCTTTTGTTGGATTGACAAGTGGATTGACCTGACGATGGAAGACATTAGGAGAATGGAAGATGAGACTCAGAAAGAACTAGAAACAGTAAGACTTGCTGTAGCAGTTCTGTTTTCCTTCTCTAAACATTACTTGCTTAGCAAGTACAGACTTGGAGTTGGGGAGAGTGCTGCTGGAAGCCATTTCTAACTTACCATGTGTATTTTCATCAAAATGGAACATTTTGAACACTAATGCCCTTCAGCCTCCTGAAGGTGGACTAGAGCTTTCTTAACCTAGAATGTGTTCCTTGTAAATAATATCCCGGTGCTTTGTACTGGGTCTCGGGCATCTCTGCGACAGTACCTGTCTTGTTCTTTTGATCAGCATGCCTTTGGCTCAGCCTGCTCAGCAGTCAGCTCAGTTCCCTCTATAGCCAAGGTGAGGCTGATGAGTCCTCTGAGTCCAGTGATGCCATCTCCCCTCTCCCAACTAGCAGTGAGCTCTTCTTCCTTGGAAAGCTCTAGGCAGATTCCAGTGGTCCTTGGCAAGGGGTCAGGGGATAGTTCCATGGCTAAACTTGCCCTAGCTCCTGCCCATAGCCAGTGGGTGTCTACACTCTTCCAAGGCCTCCCACAAGGATTTGGTTTTGATTTTTCCCTGAACCATGCTTTTCTGCAGTTGGTAGTTCATTCCCAAAGTGGAAAGTAAATCCAAGGCATATCCAGGACCCTCAGGGCTTCCATATAGTCACCCTGAGTCCCAGCAGAGGTCCTGGCTCTGCAAGCCCTGCAGGTGTGGTATCTGATGCCCTGTGTGAGGCTAGAGCCCCATGTAGTCATGGGGAGTGGCAGGAAGTCAGGCTCTTTGACAGGGAAGGGGTACTGTCTCTGCTGTAGCACAGTGAAGGATTGTCTGCAGCTAGTTACTTGGGGTGATCAGGGCAGGCCTGCTTCTCATTACCTTATACCAATCTTCAGAAAGGAGTATGCTGTATGTTCTTAATAGGGCAATAGAATGTTTTAGCCTATCTTATATTTAAAGTAAACTATAGACAGACATCACCTTATAAATGGGTTTTGCTTCAGATTATTTTAGGTTGACTGAATTTGGAATGTACTTTCCCGTAGAGACAATATTATGAGGGGGTAGGTTTTTCTCTCACTGAAGCTCTGAGTTCTGGGTCTTTGGAGTAGGGTGATGGGATGATGGAATCGCAGGACTGGCAGGGTCTCCCTCTCCCCTTTGTTCTGAGGCTGGCCCTGGGTATTTAAGCAGGCAAGCACTGGTCATGCTGCTCCGGCCTTTGCACCTCTCACTCCCTGTGCTCACTTCTTCTCAATAGTTAGGTGCTCCTCCAAAAGCAGCCCTGGCACCACCCCTCCCAGCATGGACCCTTCCCTTGCCATACCCTCCCTCCTAGTAAACACTCACCCCTCCTACCATCAGCTCCGGAGCAGCTGCTCAAGCTGTAGCACAGCTGCTTCCAGCCAGTGTTTCCCAGAATCTGGAGAAGCCCAGAAAATCATCCTCAGCAAAGACCCCCTTGCCCTGGCTATGCATTTTGAGCTAAATGGTCAGTTGTGGAAGACTGATCACTGGTGACAGATGGTGAACTCGGGCCCCCGCATCCCGACCCCTTGGGCAGAATGTGGCTGAGGTCTGCTGCTCCCCACTCTTGGTTCTTTCAAGGTTCTCATCCTGCAGATCCCTGTCCACACCATGAGAGCCCTTAGCCTGGAGATGCCAACCCTTGCTCCCACCTGTGGTGTAGGCTGGATGATCAGCAGCTGCTCTGCCAGCTGTTTGGAAGTAGCACTATAGCAGCTCGGGGCTCAGAGTGAACGAGGTCCCCGTGAACTTGCTGCACTCTGTCCTGGGTTCAGGGTGTAGATGGCCGTTTGATCTGTGAATACTTGGGAAGTGTTTTAGGCAGGTCTCAGCGTTCATGCTGACCATCCTCATACTAGTTCCTCATACTAGCTTCTCCTTGTGAGGTCACAGAGTACTGTAGTACTGCTCGTAGTTCCATCGGTTGGGTTGTGCCAATCCTCAGAATCATGCAGCATGGGGCCTGTGGCTGGGAGCACCAGGAAAGCAGCTCCTTCCCCGTGAAGAAGACTGCAGTTCTGCAGGAATTTCTTCTCATGCCTAGTCAAGGACTCTCATACACTGTAATGTTCTTAATTCGCAGATACTTTAAGAATTGGCTTTCTTTTTATCAAATCTCTTTTAGACTTGAGAATGCCTGGCACCTTACATTGGGCATAGAAAAGACATGCACATCCAGGTGGTGGAAGAGAACTGGCCAGACCCTGGGGAGGATTGGGGGAAGGGATCGTTTGTTTTCTGTCTATTTCTGGTTTTCTCCTTTGAAGTATTTTTGGTCTTTTTGTTTGTTTGTTTTTTGTTTTTGTCTGTAGCTGTTAGACATGCCTGCTCTTCTGCTGGTTCCTTTTGCTGTGTGCTGTTCCTCTGTGTGTCTCTTCCTTTGACCCTTGCTCCTTTCACTAAACCTGGAAGCACTGAGAAACGGCAGCAGCACCTTCACAGCTTCCTGTCTGGTCGGAGACGGACTACGCCTCCCTCCCCTGAAGCGTTTTCTCAAAGCATATTGACAATTTCCTTGCAATTGTATCCCTGATAATTTGCTGCCAGACTGGAGACCTTGGTTTAGATGCTTAGTTAACTTTCCAGGCTGTTTAAGGAAAACCCCACACAAGTTTGTTGAAGCCAGGACCCGTTGAAAGCCTCAGAACCACATCTCTTCTGGGGATCCATGAGAAGTAGACAGTCTCTATGTAATCATTGCTAGATCTTTTTTCTCCACTTGCTTACTAACCCCTACATAGAATCATTTTAGCAGCTCATGATTTTATTTTACATTTAGATGCGTAAGAAGGGTTCCGTCCGAGGCACGTCGGCTGCTGATGCCTAGATGAGTCCCCTGTAGGTCAGAGACATTTTCAAACTGTGTAAGTGAAGACCTGGGAAAAGAATGTCTAAAAGCCTGTGCCTTTGGTGATGGGGAGTTAACTGCTGAGCCCTCCATAGGCTCTTGCCTGTGTTGACGAGACTCTACTTTTAGAATTGAAGAGGTGCCTGTTGTAGAAACTGTGAGCATGTATGTTTTGTGGATCACTCTGTGGGCCAGGTTGAATGTCACAGTCTTCGCCCCGCTGTCAGTGTCACTGTCCTGGAAGTTGGTTGACCTTTTGGTAGCCAGCTGATTAGTGGAACCGTTTCTCAGTAGAACCTTTTGCGGTTCCCAAGGAAATCCAGGATCCCTGCTGCCCCACTATCAGGCCAACTTCAGTAGCTCACTGTAGGTAAAATGTGTTCTGTGTGCCATAGTCTCCCTGGTTACTCTGTGGTTTACTTTGTAAGCCTAACATTTTTCTGTGGTGTTCCCTACCAAAGCCTATGGGCCCACATGACATTTCCATAGATGGAACAGAGTGTCCACCTCCACCCCACAGGCGTAGACAGAGAACAAGAGCAGCAGAACCTCCTCTTGTGTGCAGATGTGAGTAAGGACAGAGCAGGGCCCTGTACCCAGACCTGCACTGAGCCTCCTGGCTGCTCGCTTTTAACGGCGCTGCCTTCCCCCATGGACTAAGTAGAGGTGTTCGGTCATGAAGAGGAGCTGCTATGCCAAAAAGAATTGAGGAACACTTCTCAGATTGCCCCAAAGTTATTTATATTTCATTCAAAATAAAACAAAAACCGGATTTTTTTTTGTTTTTGGGTTTGTTTTTTTTTGTTGTTGTTGTTGTTTTTGGTTTTTTCAATTATTGCCACTTTAAGTACTAACTTTCTGTGATTTGTTCCTGCTTCGAATTTACTTTTCTCTGTGATGAAATAAAATGTTTTGCCTTTAGCATGGCCAGTCTTTAAACAGAAACAAAGTTTTAGGGTGCAGTAGTTTGGGGAACATTTTCTATCTGATTTTTTCCATATTGAGTGTCTCAGGAGAGCCTGGACCTAACTTGCTGTGTGCTTCTTTTCTTTACAGCTACGGAGTCAAGGCCAGGTGAGGGGAACAAGTGCGGCCTGTGACGAGTGAAGACACCACCAGTGTCTCTCAGTGATGACTCAAGCGCACGTGTGCACACACACACATACACACACACAGGTTTGTGTGTATATGTGTGTATGTCTGTAGCTGTATGAAAAACACATATGGCTACAGGCCTAGATACACAAAAGTGTATATATGTACATGCAAAACATTGAAGGGATCAGTACAATTTCTCCAAAGTACTGTACCGATCTTCAGCAAAAATACTAAAGAAAATATTTTCAATATATATACCTGGAACAGATTTTAATAATCATCAATGTGATGCCCTTGATGGATAAATGGACTGCCATGTGGTGCCATGTGGTGCTGGCTGGCGTGATTCCTGAATGCCAGGTGTGGACCAGTGTGTGTAGTCTTTGGTTATGTTTCTGTTTTCTCGAGTCACCACACATACACTTTTATTTTCATCCCATCAGCAACAGACTCCTACAGAACGATTTCTTCAAATTTTTAGATACTCCAGTGAATCTAGAAAGTCAGCTCTGGATGTATTTATAACTATTTATTTCTGGGTGGCCACTATCTTCCAGCCAAATCCAACAATACCCAACAAGTAAGGAGTCAAAGTAAAGCTCTTTACTAGTTTGCCCGAGGGGTGGGGAAATCCTTTTTTTAAAATTGCCACTTTTTATTGGATTTTTGTATTTTGAATTTCAAGTATTTTTCTACATCAAATCTAGCAAAACACAGTGATGACGGTTTGTGATTTCTAATAAACACTAGACGATATTCAGGCTCTGGCTAAGCAAACAAGGCTACGGTAAAGGAAGTGACCCTGCGACCCCAGGAGCCCTGCGGGCCGTGCAGGTCTTGTGTGGAGGCTGTGCAGACCGTCTGTGTTGCTCTGAGCTCACAGGTGGGAGAGCAGTGACGTTTAACTCTTTTCCTGTTGCAGTCCAAGCCAGGGGGAAATGCTGATGGAGCTAGGGGCAGTTTCCATGTGGTACAGGGCTGTCACTGTCCTGAGGCCCAGCTAGATCCTCAGCATTGCTGCCTACACTGCTTCCTCCTCCTCCTCCTCCTCCTCCTCCTCCTCCTCCCCCCTCCTCTTCCCTCTCTCCCTCCCCTTCTCTTCCTCCTCTTCTTTTTTTTTTTTTTTTTTTTAAAGAATTGTAGCTAGGTAAGATTTTTTTTTTTTTTTATCAACTTTTCTGTCTTTTCCCTTGTCAGTCCTAGAAGCCTGACCAGAATCATACTGTTGAAGCCTTCAGGTCACACACTGTCTTCTTAACACACTACCCCACAGTCCTCCATCCCCCCCCCCCAACACATCACCCCTGCAGTCAGCCCATTAGTAACCCCTTTGCTGACAGTCTTGCCCTCCATGCCCCTCCTCCCATGTCCTGTGTTCCCGTGGGAGCGATGACAGAGCTTCCCACTGCATTACAACAATTCCCTGTCATCCTCCGCAACAGGCCCTGGGTCCTGTGTGCCCTCTCTGTTCATTTCATGGGCACTGTTGGGAGATGGGCTTGGTCACATCAGTGGAACAGTCACCTGAAGGGTCATCGCCAACCCCAGGCACTGGAGAACCCAGTCTCTCCCCCAATGAAACTAACTCAAGCACATCTGCAGTCTCATTGGGAGCTTGGGCACACAAGGAAGTGAGAGCCTGGTGTGGACTCTAATGTTTTTGTAACAACTGTGGAGATTGAGGGGATGTGTGGTGAATGTAAAATACCCGTTGACTTGGCAGTCTCTTGTGTAAATTACAGTAAAACAAAGTAAGTGAAATTGAAACAAAAATAAATTTGATCACAAAATGCCCTTGTGTGCTTGAATGGCTGTTTCCCTGGTACCACTTGCTTGGGGCAGTGCAGGCCACTTGGACTCTGGCTTTCCAGCGGCCCCACTCTGAGAAGACGACACTGAGGGTCTTGGTGTTTTGCTGGCCCTGTGAGGTGGCTTGTTCTTGACATGGGCCTTTGCCGTCCGGTTGTCACATAGTTTCAGAGGTGATTTCCTGTCCTTACTGGAAGCTGGGTACTGTTAGCCTCAGAGTTTGTAAAAAAATATTTTTAAAGGAAAGAAAATACAGAAAACTTTGTTTTTAAGTGCTTTGTCGGGCTTTGCTGTTACGTCTTGACTGTCTCGACATCGTGGCTCCTAGATACTTGTCCTGTAGAACTTGGTCATTTCTGCTGTGCTCTGTTTTTGAGACAAGGCCTACTGACCGAGCAACTTAGTGTGCAGCGTGTTTCCAGGGTGTTTGAGGTTCCTTTCTTGGTGTTCTGTTCAGCTACAACATCAGCATGCGTGGTGACCTTGTGTCTTGTGTGTATCCACCTGAGTGTTTGTACACAGGCCCCTGGCGCTCAGCGGAGTTCTGGGGGGGTGGGGGTGGGGGTGCAGATGTGCAGTCCAGTGTGGGAGACAGACAGATAGGAACAGGTACAACACAAGTTGGTGTGATGCCCTCAGGAGTGGTGTTGGAGAAGAGATGTTACAGACTCACTGGGCAAGCAGTCCCAGCAGCTGCGACCCCAGGAGCCCTAAGAACTCCTCACGTCTTCTGCTCTGCCCTGGAGAGCACAGGCCCAGGCAGGTGAGACTTCGCACCCTTGTGACAGATGGCAGCCCCCTTCCCTGGCCTTCTGTCCATTCACTTTCCATGCTGCTGCCTCCTCGTGTGTCCAAGGCTGCTCACACCTCCTGTCCCCTCACCTTGATGGTGTTTCAGGTGTCCCAGCCCAGTCCCTGCAGACATGTCTCAGGAGGTAAGAGGTATTCAGCCTCTGTCTTGAGGACACACTGGAGCTCCCCAGCCATCCAATGGAGAACTTGCTGACCTTGCTCTTAGATCAGTAGAGCCACCGGAAGATTCACAGGAGGTGAATCTCAGAGGGTCTGTGGAGTTGCAGGATTCTAGAGCCTAGATTGGTGTGACTGGGAAGGAAGAAGAGCAGTGGAAACCAAGCCCCAGCCCGTCTTGTCTCTGGGATGCCTTGGGCAGACCCGCCCATACACTCTGGTCATGTTACCTGGCATGAAAACAATATGCAACTGCAGTTGACTTCACATCCCCTCGAGCAGGTTACATCAGAAAAGTGGGAAAGGTGGATGTTCCTGAACCTTCCTGTGGTGATCATCCATTCATCTGTCTGGTGTTGCCATGGTGCAGGGCTTCTTTGCTGGAGAGGCATTCGGAACAGCCTCATTCTGACAAAACCAGCCTCCTGCACTCTAACAGGCTTCCCCTCTCAGAGACTGAAATTTCACACAAGGAACCTTAGTGACTACCTTGTGTGTTCTTCTCTTCTGCTGAGTTAAATCCTGAGTTCAGATGTGACTGGATTAAGAATGTCTCCATTCCCACCACGGTCCTCTGGCCGTCCGAAAGCCAGCCTTTGCAACTCCATATCCTGAGTGAATGCTTCGTCATGCTAGAGGCCAACCTGACAATAGATGCACCCTAGACAAGAAAACCTTTTCAGATGCCACTTTCCCGTCCGTCGTCTTTCTATGCATCTGTCTTGGTGCACTCTCACTTGAAAAGCAGGAGAGGGCCCAGAAAACCCACGTCCTCTCCTTCAGGAAGCTGTTTATCGTGGAGGGGCCTCTCTGCCACAGTTCACTCCTGGTTGGCCATCACCATTGGCTGACGGATGGCACCCTTAAATCTCATATTTCACAGACTAAGTTAGTGTGGGGACTCCTCAGGGGCAGGTGTCATGCTGTGCCTCAAAGTCGCCTCTTGTAATGGAAGTTTCAATCATGAATGTCATTTTTCCCACAGCAGATGTCTGCCAGTCCAGTGACAAGACACCTTACTCTTGGGGTCTAGGAGAGGAGGAACAAGATCTAATCTCTTCCCTCAACCCGCAACAGAAGGGGCAGCAGCTCTGGCAGCTGTCCGGGGAGCACTAAGTCTACCCTTTCTCCTTCCTCCTCAGTTACCCAAGCTAGAGGCTTCAGAGTCCATCTCCAGAATGTGGGTGCATCACTCACGGCCTCCCTAGTCAGGAAGCCTAGCTGGTCCCCCAGTCTCAAAGAGTGTTCCTGGATGAGCCCATGCTGCCCTTGGTCTTTCAGTCCAAGCTGTGTTCTGAACGCCCTCAACTCAGGAAGAGGACCACGAACTCCACATGAGAGAGAAGCTCACTGGGTGTGGTGGTGCACACCTTTCAACCTAGCACTCGGGAGACAGGCGTGTCCCTCGTCAGGTCAAGGCTGTCTTGAGCCACATAGGGAGTTCTGTCGTCTGTATCCACCATAGCTGCACACTAAAACACTGCTTTGTTTTAAGGGCTACGCAGTATGTGAGACCTTGTGTCACAGTTTCTCTGACAACTGTATGTCTGTCTCTGCTTCATGCGGAAACAGCCAGTGGCCTTCATATAGTGTGACCCCCAGAGCCTTCATGGGAAGGCAGGTCTGACCAGTGGTCAGAAGTGTAGCACCCTGTATGGATAGTCTTGGGCTCTGCCACACGCAGCTCTCTAGAACCCCTGTGGTGGTGCTGTGTTCCTGACTCCATGAGATCCAGAATGCCAGTCGCCGCCAATAGGTGCCTCATTCTGGTGCCAACTGGCAGAGCCAATGGCAGTCGGCTTCCCTAGCCAAGATACTCAGAGGAATAGTTGAACGCATTTCATTTCCAGCCAGCACAAACCCAGGTGCAAGATGGCGCTACAGTGAGTTCACCGAAGGCGTTGAAGAGCATGCTGCTTAAATTCTTGAGGTGCACTGTCTTCTACTGTGGTGCCCCCAACTTGTTAACCTGGGCTTTGTGCCCTGGCTTCTGGTGGAGTCTGCCTTAGTTTCTGAGGAGCTGTGAGGTGTCTGACATGCTGCCCGTGTGTTGATCCTTTGTCGTATGTTGATAGCAAAATAGCAGTACAGTTCAGGCCGTGGGAGGCGTGGAGGAGCTCTACAGGAGTAGCTCACGGTGAAAACAAGCTTCCACTCTGGGTGGCCCATGGCAAGATGGCTCCCTGCATCCCTGAATGCCAATAGCATCGTTTTAGCAAGACTCTCACTTTCTAACCCACCCAGAGGTGCTGTGCCCACTTGCCCTCCAAGGTGTGTGCTAGCCTCCACTCCCATGTGCCCTTGCAGGAGAGGACCTGTGTAAGGCCCCAGGACAGCTGTAGTCCACAGCGGCTGTTCCTTTGTTTAGAACTGGGGCTGGCAAGGTAAAGGACCAGGTGTTCGTTGAAATTTGGGGGCTATATAGTCTTGGGCAGCTGCCCTGTGCTGCCCCTGTAGCAGGCAGGTAGCCTTGAGCATCACAGGGTGAGGGGTGTGGCTCCACATGGGCCGGGTGACACCTTGTTAATAATTGTCATCGTCTGATTTCAAAAACAATGCTAATGTCCACCAGCACTGCCATCCAAGTAGGCCTCGCCAGCTTTGCGGCTTGACAGTCGCCTGGAAGGCAGGTGACACTGTTTTTACATCTACTAAAAATGGAGGCAGAACCGGGTGGTGGTGGCGCACGCCTGTACTCCCAGTACCTGGGAGGCAGAGGCAGGTAAATCTCTGTGAGTTCCAAACCAACGTGGTCTGCAGAGTGAGTTCCAGGACAGCCAGGGCTACAAAGAGAAACCCTGTCCTGGCGGGAGAGGGGGAGATGGAAGCAGGTTGCCTTCTGAGCAAGGGTCCCGCAGATCATCTGCTTGTCCAGACCACAGTTCCCAGTTCAGAATTCTAAGCCTGTGGCAACAGCCTCAATGCTCAGCCTTTTTTTGTTGTTGTTGTTTTGTCTTGTTGTCTGGTTGGTTGGTTTGGTTTCTCTGTATATCTTTGGCTGTCCTGGAACTCACTCTGTAGACCAGGCTGGCCTCAAACTCACAGAGATCTTCCTGCCTCTGCCTCCCACCCTGGGTGCTGGGATTAAAGGTGTGTGCCACCAGCATCTTAAGAGCATTTGAAAAAAAAAAAAAAAAAACAAAGGCATTTGCTCCTAAAGTCCTCTGAGGCAGAGCTGAGCTTCCCCGTGGTGGCATAGAAACCCTCAGGCATATTCTGTAAGTAGAAGGGGCAGGTATGGGAGGTATGTGCTAGACACCAGAGCCCCTCACCCAGCATGGCCTCTTAGCAAAGTGTGAGCAGCCAGATCTGTTCTAAGATTCCACACTTAGAGGCCTCACAGGAAAGGTTGGGCAACATTCTCCCCCTGCTGAGGTCCCTGCCCAGTATCACCTTGTCTCCCTCCTCCCCTCCCCCTCCCCCAACTGGCTTTGTGTTGGTGCTGTGGGCCATGAGCAGTCTCCAGGAACCTGTTATGTGTCCCCTCTAAGTGTGTTTGACAGCAGTCAGGGGATGGGGGTGTGGTGGGGAACAACTGGCCTGTGAACACCTGGAGGGAGCAGTAGTGAGGCTGTGGGCAGGGCTGTCCCACTTTACCAAGGTGTTATAGCTTTACCTGTAACCACCCGAGGCCTGGAGACCCTCCCCTAAATGTCTGGCCAGCGTTGCCTTCTCTGGCTGGGGACAATGTCGGTCGGGCATCTAGTGGGCCATGAACTCAGTGTCCTGCTATGTGGGGTCCTGTAGCAGGAATCTTAAAAGGTTTTATTAATAAAAACAAACCTGGCTGGGCGGTGGTGGCGCACGCCTTTAATCCCAGCACTCGGGAGGCAGAGCCAGGCGGATCTCTGTGAGTTCGAGGCCAGCCTGGGCTACCAAGTGAGTTCCAGGAGAGGCGCAAAGCTACACAGAGAAACCCTGTCTCGAAAAACCATAAAAACAAAAACAAAAACAAAAAAAACCACAAAAAACCTGGGGGGTTGGGGATTTAGCTCAGTGGTAGAGTGCTTGCCT